AGAACATAGCCCTCAGAAAGTCTAGATACCGCTTGGCGTATGCTGTCAATACAAAAAAATGACCCCATTCAAGCTTGTCGCCATGTTAGGTAAATTTATGTTTTGGCTACACTGATTTTTAGTTTGTGTGTTCTGTAATACGTGAACACCGATATCTGCACTTTGTTATTAGTTATAAGTGAGTGAGACGCACAATTTCTAATTTCAAATTAAGAACAAAACTTTGACAAACCTATTTGATTTTCCTAGATCTGTTCAGACAGGACCGGTTCTATAAATTTTCTCGTTCTTGAAATGTTATTTTTATATGGTTATATATATTATTGGATAAGTGTTTTGTGTACATATTGCTATAAGAATTATAGAGAAAATTCAGTGAGATTTATGTAATATAATTCAAATTACAAGTAAACCATCTGTTCCTGTTTGGCAATATGGAGAAAATACCTACTTCAATGTCAAATGTACTATTTAAAAGAATGTGATTGTTAACCCGGTCATTTATTTATATTATGAAAATAAAAACTCGAATTTTTTAACTAGGGAAAGATATACTTACATCGGTAACAAGGTATTTTTAGAAAAACTAATAGATTACTCATATTCCTATAGTTTATTTGAAAATGAATAATAGCAAAATTATATAAAAATATGGAACTTTGCCATAAAAACTGTGCTACCAAGCATTTTCAAATAAACTATAATGATAATTTGATTTAATAGAGCGAGTATAAGATCTCACCTGTTAGAGAAATTGGGGCATAGGGAAGAGATTATGAAGCAGGTAAGCAAAGTCGTTGCAAAAGATAAATATATAGAAGTTATTTTAAAAATTTGATAAAAAACTAGTGGAACAACAAATGGAGTTGTCGCTATCGGAGATCCAATCAGCAGAAAGTAAAAAAAACTTTGGGAATGTTGGAAAAGGGCACAGCAATAGGCCCAAAACAATTCCTTCGTTTTTTAATAAATATAATCTTGTGAGATGCAAAAAAATACTGCTAGAGTGGAGAAGCAGTATTGTTCTAATGTAGAAAACCCAGGGACATACAGCAATGCACTAACCATAGGCGAATAGTCACTAAATTATACAAGAGTCCTATCTCGATTTTATTTTTAAATATTTTTGAGAATACCTATTATTATTAATTTGTTACATTGAGTTTAATGAAACCACAGATTTCGAATGTATTGAAAGTTATTTAAAAAGTACCTCTATAAATATATAGAAAATGTGTATATGACTAACTGGTTTTATTAATCTTTTTTTGGGGTAGGTAAATATATTTTGAAAAATTTACAATCTTCTTTTGAATAAAAGACAAAATATTTCTGTTTTTATTAACTGGAACAATATTTTATACAAACATAATATATACCTATTTAAAAGAAAATATTACATTTTACAAGTATCGCATATTTATATGAAATAACTTACTCAATAAGAAAGAATTAAATGAAACAAATTAATAAACAATGGATAAGAAAAATTTTAACAATTTAATCCTTAGATAAACTTATTTCTTACATATTGCTTTAATCAATTTATTTACTATAAAAAGTATATTTCCTATCATTTATTACATGTAATAAAATAAAGCATAAAACATACAAACTATAATATGTACCTACTTAGAACGGAACTAATATTATTGTATCAAGGTAGTAATAGTGGACATTTTCCGAATAAAAAAAAGTAAAAAAGAAATAACGGTCGACACGTTTTTCTGACTATTGGTCTTCATCAGTACGGTGCAGCCAAGTTCAAAGGATCATGGAACGTGTGTTGGAAAAATTGTACAATAGGTCATTAACAAGGAGCCAATAACACATTTGCCGTTTCAGCTAGTATCCCCAAATTTTCTGGGCTTATACTAAAGTCACAAAATGATTCAATGGTCTTCCTATGGCTATCAGTTATTCTTTCCTAAAATTTTTTGGTATGCTACAACAAAACACAAATTATTTGATTTTGAAAATATACAAATATTTTTGAAAACTTACACGTGAAATGTTATTCCTTCCTTGTATCTTCTACTGTTGGATGCAATTCACGTACAAAACAACAAGAGATTTTGAAAATCCTTTAAAAATTTTAACACCAAACCACAAATGTTTTTTATTAAAATAAAACACTAAACGACTAAACTAATAAATAATGTTTTAAATAAAACCTTTACTAGAAGAACAAAATAAACAACACAACAGATAATAAAATCGATTATATACGTCGAACGCCGATCTTACGCTTATTACTAAACTTGTGCCGATTCTGTCTTGTCAGAAGTGCCAACTTAAAATTTATTGACGTTTATTTATCATGGCGCCCATCATATGGGGGGTCAAAATGTTTTTACGATGCGGTATCTAGACCTTCTGAGGGCTATGGTATAGAATTAGAAGCTTTAAAATTTTTGATGTTGGTACCATATGGTTTCCGGATTGTGTCTTTTTTCTGTAATATCCGTCGTCTCGAATTGTCTCGACTTTACTTCATGTAGATGTTTTCTGTCATGATGGCTTCATTGAAGAAAAACGTGTCTTTGAACTCAATTCTACAAGAACCTATTACGCCTACTTGGCTAGAAAAGTCACCTGAGGTAACCGCACAGCGGGATTTATTCAAGTACTTGAGGAATTTTCATTGCAGCCTTTTTTATTGATTGATTGATTGATTTTTGTTCTTTGCGAGCAGCGGTCACCATTTTCTTGGAAGCATCTCGTTTCGACGAGGTAAGTGGTAAAAATTAATTTTTGACTCTCGCTTTCAATTCTTTTTTCGTAGATTTTTGGGCAGCGAGCTCAAAGCCGAGGTGATCCTAAAGCCTTCCGAGTTCAAGTTTCCTTTTCATTTTTTTTTTATGACCGGCAACCGGCGTGGTTAGGGGGGAAAATAACTTCCATCCCAGGTAGACGTAGAGGTAGATGATTATTCTTAGGTTAAGTTACCTGATTTTCATGAGATGTGTTTTCCATATACCTGATTTCCATGAGGTGTATTCGGAGGATTGGTGCTGAAATTTAACTTCGTTGGTTCTCGAGGCTCACCAGTGTATTCTGCTCGACTACCATTTTGTGTTAAGGAGGTCCTTTCGCCACCAATGTTAAATAAAAAATATTAGATTATGACTAAAATTAATTTTTTTCTAATAGTAGATGTCCTTATTTATCTAATAGTGAACTTTTAACTATACCTTACCGTGCAAATTTTTGAGAATTTTTTTTTTTAATGTGTGTGTTTGTACAGTGTCTTATGAGAAAGTAAGACTTCATCAACAATTTTCGAATTATAATTAATTTTACTATTATTTATTGATTAGATGGAGTAGAAAAAAACTAAAAATAAGGTTTTTGAAATATTTAGGTTTTGTTTTTTATAATAAAATATATAGGTTATCGTGGAATTTATTGAGAAATTATTATTGAAAAATCACAAAAAATTTTCAACTAGGTTACTTGAAAACTTTTTGTGATTTTTTAATATTAATTTCTCAATAAGTTCCACCGTTTACTATATATATTTTATTGTATAAAATAAAATCTAAATATTTCAAAAACTTTATTTTAAATTTTTTTCTACTCCATCTAATCAATAAATAATAGTATAATTCGAGAATTGTTATTGAGGACTTACTTTCTCGTGAGGCACTGTACAAATACTCACATTTAAAAAAAAATTTCCAAAATTTTCAATGTAAGGTATAGTTAAAAGTTCAGTATTAGATAAATAAGGACTTCAACTATTAGAAAAAAATTAATTTCAGTCATAATCTAATAACTTTTTTTTAACATTTGAGGCGAGATGTGTGGCTAAAGGACCTCCTTAATTAAGCTAAGTAATTATTTAATAAGTTTATTTTTAAAGTTTCTTTCACCCCATGGATTTAATGGGATTAGGTTATTTTAGAGGTTGAACCACCTTGCAGTGGAACTCTATAAATTAAATTATTTTTTTTTTGTTAAATTATATTACCGCTCATGTAAGGGTTGTTTTTCTGGTAATTAAATATTTAGGTAAAGTATATGTGAGCTTCAAGCAATTGCTTAAGGTAACCAAGACTTGTTCAATGAAATATTTATTAAGTATAATTAAATAGTAAATTTTGAACATTTTCTATGCTCAATCCAACAATTCACCTTATAATTTAGTTATGGTAAAAAAAGAGAAAATACATCTAACCCCCTGGAATCTATTGTTTCATTTTCTTAAAATTAGTCTTTCCACTTAGGTAGTAAAGAAGTAGATTCATTAGAGCCGCCTGTCGAACAGAATTGACCGGTCGCTTCGAGTCCAGAGGATCACCTGAGGAAATTTGGTGTTAAACCATCTACACACCATCAGTTATTCGACTGTTGCTGCTGACAGAGACTTCTGGTGAGACTGTTCTAGTTTATTCTTTCTACGTTGTTTCTGACTGTACGAAGGTTGATTCTCATTTTATCTATATTACACAAACGATTTTAAAGTGATAATTACTAAAATATACCAGAAATTTAATCAAGTATAACTATTTAATTTAATAATATTTAAATAATTTAATAAATGTCCAAGGAAAATAATGTAGTTTATTAAAGAATATTACCCTTGGAGCGTAGCAGTTGGTTGCTTGAAAAGCTAAAAATTGAATGGATGAGTGCTAATGTATCTTGCAGCTCATCTAGGCGGCGGCATAATGTTGCCGTAGCCACCCTTTTGTTCTGCAAATTACATTGTATAATTGTTATTTCTTTAAATTCTTTCAGGTCCTTCGTTGAAGTTTGTGCAGCAGGGTAGTTATTTATTCAACCATTCCTTCCTCCGAACGTGGAAAACGGAGATGTTCTAATGAGTCATCTCAGAGTTTTCTTGTTGAAGGTCATCGATTGCCTTTTTTTCTGGCTTCATGTCCTCCACTGATGGCTTAAATTGGAGGGGAAGAGGGTCCTTTTTCGACCTTTGACCTTATAATTCAATGAGATGAACACATAGCTCACCCAATGCCGAAGACGAAGGGATGACCCTAGGCATCTTTTTTGGTTTCATGGCGGAAGGTGCAATATTTCGCCACATACAAGTTTGGATTTTGCTGCTCAACTTCTTTCTCGTTAAGGTCAGCTTGCGCCTTCTCTGGGAGAGAGGCTTTGGTGAGCTTGGAGAGCTCGTCCATTCTTACAACAGCGAGTGTTACTCCTTCCGATGTTTTTAAGGTTGATACCTTGGTTTTTAGCCATTCCAACGTCAGGTTATCGTCACGTGTTACTCTGATAATTTCACCAGAATGCGTCCAAGACCTGAATGTGGATGGCTTGCTTTTGCTACAGGAAGCAGATAAAATTGTTTTGTTCAGCTCTCCCATCAGTGTCTTTTGACAAGGATTTATCTTTCGGTAGTTATCTGACTGTAAGGGTTATCCTTGTCTATTATAGCAACTTTCATCCTTGTAGCTTATCTCAGACAGAACTTTGTGACCGTGTCTGGGTTTTCCCCTTCCGTGGCGTTACCTCGAAAGAGGTGTCAAATCGTAGCCTTTTCTTGTCCCTAGTTTCGTCGTGTTCCTAGACTCTTGTGGAGGCAGAACTAGCGTCGCTGCCTAAGGACTTGATAAGGCAACTTTTGTTTGGTTTGGAGTGTACATCAGGCAATCGAAATTTAGTGTTAAGCAGGTCTCTCCAACTCAAAGGGTTCAGTTCTATTGAGCCTTTTTATTAAATTGGCATTGCCGAGGAGCTAGATAATCTCACCTTTCCCATGTTGGAGCAGTGATTGTTCGTGACCACTGTCTTTTCAAAACTCTCCTTCTTAAGGCCCCATGGAGTGTTACGGTAATACCAGGATACATCCACGATGTTCCTTAATACGTTATTCTGGATACGTTGAATAATTTGGTTGTTACTTTTACTGGCACAGTCCCAATGCTGGATGTCATACACGTCCATACAAGTTTCAATATATGCCTGTAAAGAAGCAGTTTGTTGGGTGGATAATTTATTGTTTTTTTATTTTATACCAAGCTCTTCGCGTTTCTTTTTCATAATAAGGACTTTCCAGTGAATTTTAGCATCAAGTGTCATACACAGATACTTTGTTGTATTGGCCCAAGGATTCTGAGTGTCGCTTATTCTAATGAAAATATATTGATTTTGTTTATTGTTGAAATTGATATGGACAGATTGCCTTTCATTTAATAATTTATTTTGTATTAAACATTTAAAGAACATTTAAAAAAAGCAAATATTGGACAATTTATATAAAAAAATTGTCGATTGGAAAAAGAATTTTAAATTACGATTTAATTATTTAAAATCAAATGTCATTGAAGAAGATAAAAAACAATATTATCACATTTATTCAATTATTAATTTTAAAATAAGTTATTCGATTTTTCTTTATTGGTTATTAACTATATGAAGATCGAACATTAAAAATAAATGATTTGACCATAACCATTCATAATAATGGGAAAAAATTGTTTGCAAGTTCCTGCAATAAAGTAATTATCATAGAGCACTTATGTAGTGAGCTACAAGATATATATGCATATTTTTTATGTAATTACATCGGTATTTACTTCTGTGAGGACCGTTTGTAAAAATTTAGGAAACAATGAAATAGTATTTATAAGATATTATTTTGAAGCACAATATTTATTTAATATCAAAGATAAAATTTCTCCAATAAAGTAGTATATTCGTAGTTAGTACAAGTACGTATACCAATTCTTTCTTCATGAGCACATGAGTGTGTTTACGATTTGTTAGGCGAGTGTTATAAACCATTTTTATATCAAATCGAATTTTTAAATTATCTTCTTTTTCTATTATATAAGAAAAGATTGAACTTCATTTAAGCATAAGCATTTGAAAAATATGCATTTTTAATTAATTAATTAATTTGTAAGGTATTTTTAACAGTATTATTGAACTTTAGATACTTTTTTGGTTGAACCGGTTATGTTTTTAAAAATGTATGCATAATAGTTTATCCTTCTTTCTCTGTAATAAAAATTAATCAAATATATTTTGTTCTCCTAGAATTAAAACCAAATACCTCCTTAAAATTCACACATTTCGATTGCATTAGGTAGCTTGGTATAATTAGTACTACAGTACAATGATAAAGTACGTACTAATGTGCTACTAGAATAATGTAAACAGATTGTGCTATGGACAATACAGTACTATGCTAACATACAGTGCGGTTGTCTGGGTACCGAAAACCCAAAAATTAACAGCTATCCTTAAACTAGAATAAATTCAAAGAACAGCATTTCTCAACATAACAGGTCAACATAACAGGAGCCACAAAAACAACACCGACCAGAGCCATGAAAGTCATTCTTAGTCTTACTTCCCCTTGATATTTACATCAACTAGGTTGCTCTGACGACAATAACACGCCTCCGTACGGTTTGAATAGAACCTGACGTAGGATCTGGTGACGCGAAACGTCGCGTTTGGCAGGAGGCGCTCGATATGCTCCCACTGCTTCAAGTGATCATGCACTCCATCTTACCGAGATATATCTTCCATTAGCCATATAAAATTATAACAGAACAAATAGAAGAGCCGGAAGTAGCAGGTACGATTTATTTCTACACCTACGGTTCTAAAACAAAACAAGGCTTAGGATGTGGAAACATAAAATGGGCTGTGAGCAATAGTGTCAGTGAAGTTCAAACAGAGCTAACGGGGATTCTCATAGCAGCAAAAAAAAATCACCAGAAAAAACATCACTGGAAGAAACATGCTTATCTATACAGTATACAATAGCCAAGAAAGCAGCCAATCAAATACTTTTTGGACCTGGCCCTTCTATTGGCCTGACAAAATCCGTAGTGACACACCTAATTAAAGAACATTCCCTTGTGAAATTCAAGGAAAGATGGGATAAAACAAGAAACTACAGAGTTGCCAGGGAGCTCTTAAGTTATCCTGACAACACTGCAACAAACAAATACTTAACTATGACTATACAGAATCTGCGCCTAGTCACAGGCATTCTGATTCATTGCCAAGTACAGAAGCATCTCCATATCATGAGGTTGTCAAAATCCGCACTCTGCAGAGGGTGCGAACAAGAAGATGAGACCATCGAGCATATCCTTTACAATTGCTCGACGCTTTAATTTAATAAAAGATTTGTGTTCGACATTAGAGAAGCACCTCTTAGCGAGGTTGTCAACTAGATTAAATCTGTAGGCTGGATCACGAGCTAGAAGATGCCTATCATCTCAGGAGGTTGCACAATAGGCCTAGTCAGGCCTAAGTGCCGTGGGAGTAACCCATCTTCCGTTACAGCGTTACAGATAGCACGTGTGGAATCGTACACTCGACTATCCCATCCCCACTTTCGCAATCTTACTCTACCGGTTTTTTGGTTTACTATACCGATGTAAACAGAGGCACACAGGCGCCGCTGTGAAGTGTGAATAAAAACAATAAAGGTAAGTTTAATTAATTTATATTGGTAACTTGTGACTTGGTTGTATTCAGTTGTGTTTTCATTTTCAATTTGCTTAATTGATCTAGTTGACCACTGTAAGCTTGTTTTCCCATTATAAATTTACCTTTAGTGCTTTTTGAACGGTTATTTTGTGTTTTTTCTATAAAAATGGCTGGTAATTATAGAAGATGTGGGACGAATTATCTTGATGTGGACAATAAAGTGTATCGCCTGCCCCACCCTCAGAAGAAACCTGATTTATTTGATATTTGGGTACTTTGGGTACTGCAAAAATAAATAATAAAACGACAACAAATTTATTCCACCAATTTAGTATATCATAAACATTTTGAAGTGAAGTTTAAAGTAGTTGGCTCTCGTCGAGGTCTAACAATTGAAGCATTTCCAACGCTATTCTTTCCAGCAGTTCCCGGAAGAGTAGCGGATAGATTTTCTTCAAATGACTGTGTATTTTCTGTTTCATGGCGTTTGGGGGTGCGAAGCTGTATCGTAGAAGATGATGCAGACATGTATGTTAGTATTTGACTTACGTATCGTATAATTATATTGTATATTTTCTGTTTCATGACCTTTGTGGGTGAAAAGCTATATGGTAGAAGAGAAAGTAGGTATAGAGCCAACAGGGAAGATTGGAGGATAGCCAAACAAGTGGTGAACTATGATAAACTGAAATAGGCAATTAGCTCATTCGAACCATATAAATCACCGGGTATGGACGGGATTTATCCAATAATGTTACAAAGAGGTCCTGATATTTTATACAACAGACTCTGTAACATACTCAAAAGTAGCCTGGCCTTTGGATACGTACCAAAAGCTTAGAGAAATATTAGGGTAACTTTTATACCAAAACCTGAGAAAATAGGAAAGGAAACGGCAATGTTCTTTGTACTTAAGACTTTGAAAAAACTGCTAGATAGGCATATTAGAGACGGGATATTGGTTCAGAGGCCAATATACCAAGACCAATACGCCTATAGTGCAGGGAAATCAACTGAAACAGCTCTCCATCAATTAATAAAAGGGATGGAGAACACACTGGTAAACAAGGAGATAATGCTGGGAGCATTCTTGGATGTCGAGGGTGCATTTGACAATACCTCCGTTGAATCGATCATTAGATCTCTCAAACAGAGGAATCGAGGACACGTGCGTGTCCTGGATCGACTCTATGTTAAGGGAGAGAACTATACACACAACCCTTATAGGAGAGACAATAGCGGCACGGGTAGCGAGAGGATATCCGCAGGGTGGAGTGCTGTCTCCACTCCTGTGGAACCTTGTAGTGGACGGGCTGCTTAGGGCTCTCAAAGATAAGGGACATAGAACCCTGGGATATGCCGATGATGCAAGAGGCTCTAAATATAGTACCAAAATGGACAGAGGCGGAAGGACTAAACATTAGCCTAAACAAATCTGACATAATTGCATTCACCCGCAGGAGGAAATTAGAGGGACTAGGGCCTCTAAACCTAAGAGGGGCAAGCATCCAGCTTAAGGGGAAGGTAAAATATCTCAGGGTTATGATTGACTCGAGACTTACCTGGAACCAGCATCTGGAAAAAACCACAATGACAGCGGAAACCTCGTTAATGATGGCAAGGCGATCCTTTGAAAAAATGGGGGTTAAAACCAGACATGGTATATTGGCTTTATAACATGATGGTGAGACCGATAATAACTTACGCAGCTTTGGTGTGGTGGCCAAAGACACAGCAAAGGAAAGCAATAACGAGGCTAAACAAGGTACAAAGACTTGGCTGCCTCGGAATAACAAGGGCAATGAAAACAACCCCCACAGCTGCAATGGAAGCACTTATAGGACTCCCACCTCTTCACTATGTGATCCAAGGAAAGGCAAGTTTAGGTGCTTACAGATTAGGAAATACACTG